CACACCGCTTCAGCCTTGCCTTATGCATACAGGCGATTGCACCGCATACGAGCCTGCCATGAGCACAGTTCTGATTAGGCTCACATTTAGCCTCCTCACGTATTTTAATAATAGTTCGAATGTATTGACAAATTAAGAGAGGCTTTACTGAGCGGGGATACACTACTAGACAAACACGGATTTGTTATTAACTAAATAGCAACTCGACGTGTTTTCCAACATAGTCAGCAAGTATACGGTGCGTTATCTTCATGTTATCATGATGGTACCGTTCTGAACAAAAGAGAAAGCTTCGCTTTCAACTATTTTACATAATAGTATACATGATGGAGATGTACATGAATTCAACATAAAAATAGTAATAAATACCGGTAGCGGGAATTAACAGGACACTGACTAGCTGGAAACTACAATTGCTCCAGCGTGGCTACGTCCGTGTGTGCGTTCTGTGGGTTTTACACGGTTTTACTGTGGGTTTTACACCTTCGTCCCTTGTTTCCCGTCTTGTGCGGGTCTCGGATCCACAGCGCCCCCGCGCGATGCACTTGAGCGTGCAGAGAAGTAGCTCGCGCAGAGATTAATGCACAGTGTAGCGGCACGAAGTAACTCCCATACTCATCCTGAGCACTAATACTAAAACACCTAGAACTCCTCATGGGCGCAGCTGAACCCCAATCCATATTTCAGTCATTCAGCAGTGTTGCTGCACAGTGACAGTGCAGTCTTCCACAGGTTCAGTGTGCTCTTCTGTAGAGGCTCAAAATAAGCGATTCAGATCACTGGTTCATATGGAAGGATTCAGCTTGAGCATCCAAATACTGATTCCAAATATTCCCTTGAGAAAGTGTTCTCCCAGCCTGTGGAACAGAGTGGGGCGGGACACTGGAAGGGAGTGATTACTCCTGCTGGCGCTGTGCACAAACACTAAGAGTCTCTGGTGGAAGTTGGAACACAAGTGGCATTCACAATAATCAAGGACAATAGTTCTCAAAACTAGAGTACAAATTCAGTCAGCTACCATAAACTGAGAATTAATTTCAAGTCAGAATGAAACACTACTCAAAAATGACCCTGAAAGTCAGGATGAGATCTAGAAATCTGTTATCAATACCCAAAAGATCAGAACCTTTGGAAAAACTCACAGCAGAATGGTGATCAATAGAAAACAGGCTTCAATGATGTCTTAGGAAGTTGTGACATCAGTTCCATTCATTATACAGGCTGAAGTGATTGAATAGCCTCACTTAGTAATTGACAGGGAGAATGAAAGCTATTAGTACATCAATCAGAAGTGTTCAGTAAAAACAACCAAAAATAACTTTCTAGAGAACAAAATTAATGAAATCAAAGCTCATTCAATTAACTTCCTTAGATAAAGACTTTACTACTAACTGTAAACACTCAGAATGGATCAAGTTGACAATTCCAGCTCAAGAAGCAGCTGTACACAGTAATATCTAGTTCATACACACAGATTATAGCTCAACGCCGCTGGAGAAGGAAGGGGCTCATAGTGAGGAAATCAGGAGAACCTTTATTTAGCACAGCACTCGACATTTTACACAGTGTCTGAGTCAAGTATACAGAGCAACAAGGAGGCAGGAAGAAACTAAAACAGACTGAACTCGTACACACTTTCTCACAACTCCTGAGGCTGCTGCTAGGGTCAGTTCACTGCGTTGGTGGTCTTGACTGCAAAGGGCTGATGGAAATTAACTCTGTGTGAACAAGTGAGATCTCAGGAGACAAGAGAGAAGAAAATGAATCCATAACATAATGGAAACATGGAGTTCAGGGGTTTCAGTTTGTAGTCACCTGGAAGGTCAAGTAGAAACTCACAGGCTGTGGATCTGCAGCCTTCAGCAGTATATCTTTCATCTTCAGGAGGGATTGAAGAAGGACACACAGATAAAGGAAATGACACTGGATCCAGGAGAGTGAAAAAATGGAAACATTAAACATAAAACATAAAAACTTTAAATATGTAGATGTTGGAGTGGGGAGCTGTATCAGTGTGTGTTGGCTGCAAGGGAACAAGATGAATTTAACTGAAAAATAGAGAGGATCACCTGAAAAAGACTCTACAGCAAAAATGTTTCTCCTTCATCTTTCAGCTTGAAATCCAGATTTACCTGTTTGAACAATGAGGTAGAAGAGTCAGTGGGGACTCACCTGGAGTCCTGGGTGATGAGACTCAGGAGGAGGTTTGATCACGTCAATCCACAGCCTCATCAGACCAGGAGAAGACAAACGGTGTCAGAGGCAGCGCCGACAACAGGTATGGACCCGGGGTCACAGGCAGGGGGATCGGCTGAACAGTGAGAGAGAGAGAGACGGGGGCAATCGACAGAGGGAATGAGTGAGATTGATGGAGGAAGGGTCAGGAGACAGAGGGAGCTCCCAAGATGCCCCATCACAATCCTCCACGAGATCAGTGCCCTGACAGTTACAGAGAGGGGAACAGGTAGAGAGCACAAGCAGTCTTGGGGACTTGGAAATTTAATATTTCTTAAGTCTCTAAAGCTCTCTAATATTTTGTGTTGATTCATTTTCAAACAAGTTTCAAGTATTCTGCCACAACGGGGCTCCATCTCTCTAATTGCTTGGTTTGCAGTAGTCTGAGCTCTGATTTAGTGATGGACAGCTCCTCCTCTGAGCTGAGATGTTGATCACATGCAGAAGAGTGAGGACTGGGGTAGTAGTGGGGTTAGGGAGTGGACATGCCATCAACATCTGAACCCAGAGGGAGTGCTTAAGACACACAGTACTCCTGTGGTTGTCAGAGTTCATATGAATCTTCAGCTTTTATTTGAAGAGATCTGGAACATTAGTGACAGAGGAAGAAGTATAGAAAGGTAAAATAATACATTGAGATAGAGGGAGAGAGAGAGCTGGAGAGAAAATACTGAAACTTACCTCTCGACTCAAACATGGTTCTGCTTGACTGCCCGAAGATGTGGTTTTGTGCGCGATATTGAGAGAAAGGAGTTAGGTCTGTTAGTCTGTTAGTCTGTTAGTCAGAGTTGAAGAGCAGGATTTGCAGGACAATAGAGGGGCGAATATTCACAGGAATAAGAAATATACAGACAGAAAAAATTCTCACAAAACATTTCCAAACTATCGCGGGCACAATAATGTCATACAGGTGTCAATGCACAAAGTAGTAAAGCTTAAAGCGCGTTTGCGCACACGATACTTACTGCCCTCTCTGTTGTCCGGCCCTCGCGCGTAAGGAGGATAAACGGACCGGCCAGAATTTATAGGCCTTGGAGCCACAATGACCAATAAACAGGCACGACGACATCAGTCGTGGCCCCGCCCACAAAAACCTTTTATTAATATTCAAAATATAGCGGCGATTTTACTATTAAACAAATTTGTAGTTCGTCTTCCCAACGCATGAGGGCGGTCCAACCCCACCCTCTGCGTCGAGGAGGCGGGACTGGGCGGCGTGACGTTAAGACTCCTGATAGGCTGAGGCTGCGCATATTTAAATTAGCTCCGCCCCCGTGACGGCTTTTTCCGGAAGTTCTGCCACAATTAGGAGCTGAGCGTTTTCTCGATTTTTATTGTTTTTTGGCTTAATTTTTTAGTGATATCGTTATAACACCGTGCGGAATTCATATCGGACCCGCTTGACTTTCACCTCGTGAGTAAAAAGCGATTTTTTTGTTGTTTGCGTTGGATCAGCAAGATGGCGACTTGGGCTAATTTGCATTTATTAAAATCAGAGGCCGATCGCTTGTATTGTAATGAGCTAATTTGCATTTGTGTTGTTAATGTAATCTGGTTTTCGTTAGAATTGTTTTTGAGAATTTTAGACCAAAACCGTTCACTTTGCTTAAGTGAGTAAAAAGTGATTTTTGTTGTTTGTGTTTTATTAGTGAGACGTCGGTGTTGAAACCCTCATTTGCATTAAATCTGCATATTATATATATATTATAATCAGGCATCAGCTGCTTGTATACTAATGAGCTATTTATATGTATGTTGTTAAATTGAACTAAATTTAAAAACAATTGTATTGGAAATTGTGTTTTTTCCAGATATATTTCGTTTTTACTTTGTACTGAACAAAAGCTTTAATGTGTAAAAACAAAGTTACCCTGTTTATGTTTTGTTAGTAAGACGTCGGCGTTAAAACTCTTATTTGCAATTAAGTTTCTATTAAAATTGTTCACAAGTTGTCTTTATTTTAATTAAATGTTTTGTTCATGCTTCTGTTTTACTTTTTGAACTTTGAAAAAAACTATTTCAATTTGATTTTGTAGTTTCTAAAATGTATTTTTACACTATACTGAAATAAAATAGTTCAGTTTTTTAAATTCTTGATTATTTGTCTTTTTTGGATAATTTCTTTTCAAAGAAACTGTCTTGATGCCTTTTGCATCGCGTTAATCTAAAATGTTTAAATGTTTCAGAGATTTGAAACATTGAAAGGGTCGCTGATTAACTTTTTATTCTGTAGTTTACATGTCAAATTATGCTAAGTAATTATAATGAGTACATTGATTATGTATGAGTTAATTAAAGGTCTTTAACATTAAACAAAGCACTCCCAGGGCAGGGCTTAGAGACAGCCATTTGTGATTGGAGTCAATGTCTTGTCAATCATAAAAACACACCCTTTTAGAACAGCGTCATCGTTGGGGGTGTGGTGTTTTGATTGACACGTCTGTCAACCAATCAGAAGCATGGAGTATGACTTTAAAATCATAGTCCTAAGTCCTTTCCAATCAGATTTCTTGAGGGGCGGGACATGGGCGTGGTTGTGGAATTTGACCAATCGTTTGAGGGTAAAAATTGTGGGGTGGGCTTTAACCCGAACATTTTGATTGGTCGGTGTGACGTTGCATAAGTGACGCCCCTCATTAATGATACACCACACCCCCTCATTAATGCGACACGCCTCTTGTTGACCACGCCCCTTCGTTAATATTCGTGTTCCTCCTTTTCTTTGGTTTTACGTTTGTGTTAAAATAATGTTACCAAGAAAACAAGACAGAACTCGAAATTCTTTATTGAGTGTTGCAGCATACAAATCAAAGACTGTTGGTTACAATGAGTTACAGAAAATACAGAGCGAGTTACAGCATCACAAGTAACCGCGTCCGTGGTGGTGATTTTCCTTCCCAGCTGCAGCAGTCTGGTCGGTGCGGGATGGGTTCTGTCCGGGCGGCAGGGACAGCAGCCAGGCGCGACCTGAAACAAGAAAAACAGGTAAGCGACAGCGACAGCAGGCAGATGCAGTGAGGAGAGAGAGGAGGAGCACAGGGAGTCACTGGGCAGTACAGCGCACCTCGCTTTGCGGGACGCGGGCTCGTCCTACTGTCGGGAAAAGTGAAACTAAGGCTGCGTGGTTCTGACCTTCAGACGGCCTCCTTCATGGGATGGGTGATGCTTACGCTATATTTTTGATTCAAGTGTAGATGCCACACGACTTACGTTTTATTAATTTTAACATTCACTCTTATATAAGGTCAGTGCGTTTTACAGAGACGCGGTTTGTTCGTGTGACCTGGATTGTGGTTCTAAATGTTACATGATTTTAAATATTTAGTTCTACGTGCACCAGCATTCTGCTACCTGTTTTCAAGCTGGAAACTTCTGCTTCGTTTCAGGTCGGTCTTGGCTTTCTGAAAATAATGTTGCGCTTTAAGCAATGTGTATGACCCAGGATCACACAAAGCAAGGTGTGGCTGCAGTGTATCGATATCACATCTGTCCCGGGACACTGCGGGGCTACTGAGCACTAGATCATACATGGGATCCAGGCTGTTGGAGAAGATTGGTTTTATAATAACTGAGCTCCAGCGCACTACAGGTAAGGGGCTGTTCCTACTAATCAAGTGCTCCCCCTGATGAGATCTAGTTCTCAGTTTGCTCCCACCCACAGGGACCTCAGATTCACAACAAATCATGTCAACCCCCTGCATTGTTAAATACAGCAGGACTCCCCCTATGTCTAGACACAGTACCCACCCCCAATGAGCCACAACTTTACAGTCAAGCAATTTTTATTAGTGAGCAGGAGATGAATTAATCCAGTAGCATACAGTTCTGGAATTGAGTGCACACACTTGAAAATATTCAAGTACAAACAGTTCAACTCTGCCATTTCAAACAGGAAAGATTAGGACACATAGGGTTCTAGATCCTTTTGAGGCAATAATTGCCTGCAGTCTGGACACATTGAGCTCACTGTTCTCTGTGTGATCCGAGACACTTTGCAGCTACAGAGGTGTCTGTTCTTGAGGGCTTAGGGCTTTTGTGTTCTTTACTATATACACTGCTGCTCAGGTGGAGCGAGATGTGGAGTGTAGTTTGGCCATTACTAGACTGTTCACTTTTCTCCTGCTGACCTCCTGACTGAGGTGTTCCTGCTGCAGACCGGTGTTACAAATCCCCACCGTTTAGCTCTCACCTTAAGTAATCCAGAACATTAGTATTGATATAGGAAAACACACATAAAATGGAGTTATAGAGTCAAAAAATGTCAGATTAATTGTGCATGTCAGCATTCGTACCAATTTATTCAGTTCCCTTAGTGGAGTGAAAGAGTGCCTGTATAATAATCAGGGTGTGGAGATCTACTTCAGATCACCCTGGAGATCAGTCAGAGTCTGCTCACCTTGGCAATCTATAATCTCAGTCCTCTGTGAGTGATGAACAGCAGGAGTGGTGGCTAATTTAACCTCATCCTATGTTCTAACATATTGGCACACCGTCACTCTACACACATTTCAGAGCACAAGTCAGTACATGAGCAACTGTACTCTGTCTTCCATGGAGAACAGGAGTTACCCTTTCTTCAGGTGCTCTTACTTGAAATGAGTACTTCAGCAAGTAGCATCATGCTCAGCTGGATTGAAATCTGCAGCCAGACTTGGACAGTTTCTGTTTTCTCCTGAAGACCTCATTGGTTGCACTGATCAGCTATTTTGAGTTATTGGCATGCTGCATGGTGAATCACTCTCCAGTAAGTATGGAGGCATCTTCCCCTACATTAGAGACAGTGTTTCCGTCAACTACAGAAAGCATTCTTCTGCTGCCATCATGAGCAGCATTAATACAGATGAGGGAACCAGTTGGAGACACTCATGCATCCCCAGGCCATGACATTACCTCCACCAGGCTTCAGAATGTGCTCAGAGTACAGAGATGAAAGGTTCAAGTGTGCAGACAGAAAGGAGCTGCAGATGCTCCACAGAACAGCACCTTATCTGCGAGTCATGGCCTGGCCTGGGGAGATAATGAGGAGTTTTCTGCACCTCTACGCCTACATCAGCACTAATGCATTGGGTGTTGTGGATTCAGAGCCGAGAACTTCAGCAACACCTCAAGGTCTTCTGCACTCCCCCCTGAGCTCAGATGTTGATCACATGTACAGGGTGAGGATTAGGATCAGACGTGGCGTTAGTCAGACACCATACATGTCATCTACATCTCAACTTGGAGGATGCACATCAAATATTCAGGTGTTGTGGCATTCTGTCATAATTCGTAGTGCAACCAAGGAAGTCATCAGGAGGAGAACTGAAAAACCTTACAACGATCAAGTTACTTTCAGCTTTCAATCCAGTGGAGCAGGAAGAAATAACTGAAGTATGATCACCTGAAGACTAAAGTACTCAGTGGCAGCAGGAGTTTCTAGGACGATTACTGATTGAACTCAATGGGTCACAGACCTCATTTACTTAAAATGAATGTGTCCCAATTACTTCAATATACAGGACTGAGGACAAAGGATGTTTTTACTGGAATATGATCAAATGTGTGCACAGAATCCAAATGTAAAATAATCCCTCAAATTACTGTTGTGTTCAGTACATATTGCTTGACTGTAAAGCCTAAGTTGACATTGCAATATTCATGCAGGACACCTTTCAAATGAAACCCAGCATGATCTAGTGTCCCATTGTATCAATACACCTTGACAAGAGGGGTCTGAGTGACCAGGGAAGTGGCGTGAATTAATGTGATCTATTCGCATGTTGTGCTGTTAGAATTAATGCTCTAGACCATGAAAAGATTGGACTTTCTTTGGGTGTGAGGGCAGCTGATGCTCTTCGAGAAATGATTGTTTAAGCTGCAGTAAAAGCCTGCTTGCTTCAATGTGCTCAGTATGGGAGCTGCACACGAACAAGTATGGGAGAATTCCCATTGAAAGGGACATTTATTCTGGCTGTGGAGTTCTCTTAACTGAAGAAATCAGCTACAACTATCCTTAACACTGTCACCGCAGAGTCCTGGTGTCTGAATGTTCACATACCAACCACAGAATTCACTCGGTCCACGTCTCCAGAAAACAGCTCCTTCCCCTGCGACAGTCGAGTTCATCCCAACACAAGCGCAGGAGAGCTGCTGTGTGGTTTGCATGCTGTCAGAAAGCAGGTGAAAGGCAGGAGCCATTAACAGTTCCTCAAGAAAGAATTATAAACTCTATAAATATTGAACCTGGTTTAAGAAGTGCTGACAATTTGCATCTTTACCTCAACACACCTTGACCTGCTGGTTAATGAGAACTTATTGCTTTCAGTCTATGAGCCTCTTCAGACTCCTGTTCTGTCTCAAGGTGACTCCACAGCCAGAACCTTTTTCTCATCTCCCTCCCAGTGTGGGATTGACTCTTGCTTGTTGCTTATTTATATTTCCTGTGAGCAGCAGTGCCTTGAGGTGGATAAAGAGCATGAGTGGGCAGTGTAGTGTCAGTGTGGGAGCCCATCCTGTCTCAGGGTATTGCACTGTGAAGGTGGGACCTTGATCTAGCTCTGGAGTCAGAGCTACTTGCAGCCTCTCCAGTCCACTGCATTCCAGTTACTGTACACAGATCTATTGAATTCATAATTGGTAGGATGTTCATACAATCAGAATTCAGGAGCTGGTTGTGTCATATTACTGCAGTACAGTGCACTGGAAGGGCTGCAAATTGTGTAGCTCTGACTAAAACCTTTTTACCAAGTAAGGTTGAACCTTGTGCTTAACTGAGCCCGTCGGGAGATGTGAACTCAAATCCACAGTTAACAGGATTTCTGCCCTCGGGCTGTGTGAAAACTCGCTGGTTAACAGCCGAGAGGAGCAGCTCCGGGATCCGCCGCCCCTATTGGCCGAGTCTGAACGAGAAGGCAGGTGCGGTCAGTCTGCAATTAGACTTCAATCCGCGGCTTTTTAGCGGTTCCGACAGCCGGGTCGCTTCTTCGCCTTTAAATAGCGAGTTTGCAAACAAAACGTTTCGAAATTTTACCGTTTCTCTGGGCGGACACTTTCGGAGCGCTTTATCACGACGGTACAAGAACACTGGGCTTTAAATGTGAATTATGTTGAAACTTACTTTGATGGAGCTGTTGGACGGGCTGACTTGTGGCTTCGAGTCTGCGGAGGAAAACTGGTGTTAGACTTGAACCTACAGCTTTCATATTGATGTTTTTTTCCTTTTTTCGTTTTACCTGTCAAATACGCCTTTTTCTCGTTTGTATTCTAGGCTTGTGGAGTATCCGGGCGAGGCTCTGGGCTTTAAACGGCGGCTGTCGGGTCCTTCTCGGCGTGGAGACCTGAGCGCAGACCCACCCGTGTACCGAGTGACCGGAGCTCCGCGGCGGATCCACAGGCGAGTCCGAGTCTCTTCTTCCTAGAAGCCGAGAGACCCGGTCAGGAAAGCGCAGCTTCAAGACTCGTTTAGGACGGAAAACCACTTTCACAGGGGCTTCGTCGCTTACCGGTATCGCCCACTCTCGGTCCTGGCGAATCCAACGGTAGCGGGTCCTTGTGGTTCCGGACTCTGTGCAGCTGCGGGTCCGGCTGGGTTTTCATCCTCCGGAGCCGGTTTGCATGAAGACGCGCCGACCGCTCTGTATAGCCTCTAACTTGGGGAAACTCGTAGCTTGACTTACCGGTACCTGACCGCAGGACCCTGGAGCCCAGCCGTGCGAGACCCGGTGTAAAGACTGAACCCGGGTGAGAGAGGAGAGAGAAACCGCTTACCTTGCTCTCGAAACGCCGGCTGCTCCCGTCCTGCTGTAAAGGTTAAAGCGAGAGAGGTAAAGCTTGCTATAAATGAATTTCTCCTTGAACAACGTTGCTTGTTCTGGTGAAACCTGCAAAAAAAAAAAAGTTTAGTGCATGTATGAGAAATTGAAACGCCTTTTGTTTTCTCTTTTCCGGCAGCCGAGCAAAGCGCCTGTACCGGGAGAGCAGCGAGGTACCAGTCGCGGTCTCCCGGCCGGCCGGCCGCCAGACTCTCTCCCCCCCACCTGTCTCCGCTCACGGACGCGCTCCCCACCCTGGGTCGGGACCCCAACCTACGGGAGCTGTAGGACAGACCGCCCCTATTTATAACGTGAACCCCTTGATGAGCGCGAAAAGGACGAGAAAGGTAGCTAATTAAGAGACACCTGGAACCGAGATGGGACTGTGGATACTGTTATATTAACACTGCTGTGTATTGTAATTGTTTTATATCATTGCTTTCTATCTTTATTTGCTGTAATAAACGGTTTAATTTTTACTTGGTTTGATTAATCTGACAGGGTTTGGGTGTGTGGGGCGGAGTACCCCGGAGTACCCGGAGTATAGAGCTGTGCATCGGGTCCCCCTGTGAACAGCCACACCAAACGGCTCGCAGCGCTACAGCCTCCGGGCACTGTCGCTGTCGGGGAGCCGGGAGGCGCTGGCCTGCGGCCTAGATTGCAGCCTCCATCCCCGCCCCCGAGTAGAGAGCCGTGCCGGCCCGAGGACACTCGCAGCCCGCTAGGTGAAGGATGACGCTCCGCTGTGCTGAGGGAACGCGTCCCGTCACCATGGTGATTGGTGTAGGGGGTGTGGCTGTGCTGCAGGGCGGAGTTCAGTGTTAATAGTGTCCAATCAGCGTGTGGAAGAGGAACAGCCAATCGGAAGAGCGCAAGTTCAAGCCGAGAGAAAAATAACAGCCAAGCCAGGCGGGTCTCGAACCCGGGACTCCGGGGTGGAGATGTAGAAGAGTCGGGGTTTAGCTGAGTGAGCTATACTCCCTGTTAAATCTGGCATACCTCCGCGAACATATTTATCTGTTCAAATTTCGCTAAACGGAAAAAAAAAACTAAAATAAAAAAGTATCCCTCCTCTTGCGATTCTAAAAGTAGTATCTCCGCTAATCTTTGTTGCGGGGTTTTTTATAAAACGCTTTGGGATGTGCGGAGACTCGGGGATTTGAACCCAGACTCTCACCTCCCACAGTCCAGCGCCCTACAGGACGAGCCACAGCGTCGGGAGACGATAGAGCCCCCCTCTAGACAGAAAACCTTTAAAACTGCGATTCACTCGTCCTGCACTCAACAGCCCCCCTGCTGTAATAACGACAGCTCTGCTGGCTGAGAAGTATTTAATATTCATGCTGTTCTTGCATATTGCAGGTACTTGAGGTACAGAGTCCTGCTGTGACCCTGCCCACTGTTCAGGGTGGGTGTCAGTCCTGCCTACTGCACACTGCTTCACTGTGAACTGTGTTTCAGGGAGTCTCTGTGGCTCCCCCTCGCCTGCCTGCAGGTATATCTGACTTTGCTGTGTAGACCACAGTTAGACTCGTATTGCATGCGGATAATTAAGCTTTACTCTTCCAGTGTTCCCCACGAGATCCCCGTCCGTCAACAGGCACAGAGCTCATATCAGAAGTTCCCCCGAAACTGGGACAGAAGTGTTCAGTCCCAGTCCACACAGTCCTTTTACTTTTCCCCTCCGCACGTGTCCCTGTCCCGGAGAAGTCCCGGCCCGTCTGCTCGTCCCCTCTGGCAGGTGAGCCAGCGCCATGCCGCCAGGGAACCCGGCGGAGGCTGGACAGGTTGGTCCTGTCCGCAGGGCCGGAGTGGGACGGGCTGCTGGGGAGGTACCCGGGGGCCTGGGCAGGCGAGCACGGCCACGTCCAGCCGAGATACTCTTCCTCCTGCAGGACCGCCGGCGGGCTCACCGTCACCCCTGTGCAGCACCGTCAACAGGAAGCTCTGCAGTCGGACTGGGAAAAACCGACGTTGCTGTTCCTCCCTCACCCCCAGGGGAGAGCTGTCCTTTTACTCCTCTTTCTCATCGACCAGGGCAGGATTCGGGATTCCCTTCCTCCCGCCTCTCCCTGAGGCCCCCCATCAAAAGCCAGAATAGGCACAGCGCACAGTTTTCTGAAAGGAAATTTGTTTATCTATTGAAAAATTCTATTTTCTATTGCTCTATTGTTCAGAGCAAAATTCTGGCACTTGAACAAAACATCATGGCCAAATTTCCCCCTGACTTTTACCCATCTTAACCTCCTAATAACCCCCGTCTCTGAACTGGCCTCATCACTCTGCTCTCCTCCCCACTGAGAGCTGGTGTGTGGGGAGCGGACTGGATCATCATCCAGGTGGGGGTACACACTGGTGGGGGTGGAGGGGATCTCCCCGACGTGTAAAGAGCTTTGAGTGGGGAGTCTAGAAAAGTGCTAAAGAAGTGTTATGAAACTCTGTGTGTGTTCACCCTCATCAGGAGACGGAGGCTGGCCCTTCCTGGACCTCGTGGACGCGCAGTGGCACGTCCTTATGTCCATCACCATGTCTTGGTTTGCTCCCATGTCCCTGAGAAAGTCAGCACCGCCATGTTCTCCTGCTTGCAGTGCGTGAAAGCACAACAGGACAGAGTCGATTGACGAATCCCCTTATTCAGCTGGATCAGCTCCTTATAAACTCCCCGTTAATTCGGCTGATCGCCGGCCCCAGGGGCTCCCGCCGCCCTGTCTCTCTCC